GCGCTGTGACCCGCAGGAGGCACATCCTGACGGCTCTCAAGGCCAGCGGAGCCAAACACGGCAGAAATATTGCCCTCCACTTCTCTTTTGCAGTTCGCAATTGACGCCGTCTTCTTCTCGTCAGTCTCGTTCCTGAACTCATACTCACATTCCCACAGCAGAAGTTCTCGCCACCTTGCGGCCCGCAAGTCTCTCCAGTTGCTCTCCGTGCAGTGGCCCACGTCCACGCCGGCGGCGCAGCACAGCACGCAGAGGGCGCACACCAACAGCACACGGCCTGCCATCGCCACTCCTCCCACCGCAGCACACACACACACGCACAGAGTCTAGCGGGGGGAAGAGGAGGGAGTGGAAAGAAGGGGTGCCGTCGCACACCAACAGCCCGCGCAATGAGAGCACTCAACCAACACACACAGGGAAGGCAAACGAAAAACAAAAACAAAGCTAGGAAGGGTGATTTGATGGTTGTTTATGTTCATGTGGTTTCTACTTATCTTCCCCTTCTTTGACAGAGTTTTGTTTTCTAGTGACTCCACAGCCCTCTTTCGGGGTCTCCCTAATAGTGAAACAGTATCTACATCAATTTCATTTCAGAAGCCAAACTGGGTTTCCTTGCTACTCTTTCCCATCTACGCTGCAAATAAATATAGTTAGATACATTGACGTGGCTAAATGCATTGCGCTGTACGCGTTATGCACCCTGCCGTGTGCAGCGCGTTCATTGCCCCCAACTTCCGCAGCCTATCGCAGACAATGCGTCCGCGGCACCGCCCCGCTTACGACCCGGGCATCAGCACCCAGTTACTCCACAAGGCGGTAGGAGACGTTGTAGTGTCCGGGGCCGGGTGCGCGGGGATACTTCCGCAGCCACCGCTCCGACTGCAGCCGGTGTCCGCAGAATTGGGTTTCCTTCGTGATTTGCTTTTCAAACACGGGCACCGACTTGCCCTTTTGTGGAAGGTCGATGTTGTACACCGCGTGGGCACCGCAACCCGCTCTGGAGAATATTTTGGCGCGCTTCTCGCGTGACACCTGCGTCTCTATCATTGGGTTCCCAGTCACACGCGGCTCTACAAGAGCGCGCTTGCTCGTATCGTACCACAAATCCCGCGTTGGGAGCTGCGACGGGGACGCGGTGGCGACCACGCCGAAGTCCATTGTGCGCTCCGTTCGTGGCTTCACCCACCGGAGGTTTGGCACGTCCCCGATTTCCGTCGGGTTTGGTCGGTGCAGCGGGGCGTGGCCGGGGGCCGTTGGGTGGATAATGGCGCATGGCGTGCGGGGCGTGACCTGCGTAAACTCAACAGTCTCCGGCGCCTCGTGGACCTGCAGCGGCGCCGATGCGCTTCGACCCACCATCGTCGCAAACTGTCGCACCCGCTTCCCCTCACAGTGGTCAAAGATGCTCCTCGGGAAGTTGAGGTCGCGCTCGATGGAAACCGTGGTGTCGGGCGCCTTTTGCCGCTCCTCCTGTTCCGCTTCGGGGACCTGCGGCGCCATGGTCACCACACGTGTGCGGGGCCGCACCAGCTTGAGGGCTTCCTCCACATCCACGAACTCGGGTGCAGACTGGTACGCAGGGGGCTTGTTCCGCCAGTGCCCCGCACGCCCCGTGTCGCGGTCCATGCAGACCACTCGATGCGGGTAAATTGAGATGTCCGTGGCCAAGTCGTACATGCCCACCGTGGCGGACGTCGTCACACATTCGTGGCGACGCCCATTGAGATGGACATCAAATTTCACAGGGCAGCGCGGTCGCCTCACCGTGGAGCGTACGTCCGCATACGGATAGTAGTCTAAATCCTTTGCCGGGCTGCAAAACGCAGACTTTGAGCGCTGGGTTTTGGAAACAAACATGTGGCTGCCCCGCACGACAGGCGGCAGTCGGGTTCGCGTACGCGAGGCCCCAAGCGTAGCCGCATGCTGCTCCCTGTATGCCAGCGTGCTGGCCATTAAGGTTTTAGTGCCCTCTGCCACTGTAAGCGTCGCTGCGGTCATTGGCGCTTGTGTCTCCGCAAGGGATTCGACAGGTTCGCTGACGTCTTCGTGGTGCGGCCGCGTTTGCGGTGCTGCCGATTCACGGGGCGACATGTAACCCCCCACCACGCGCGGCTCCACCTGCGTGTAGCGCTGGTGGTAGTGGCCAATGTCCGGTTGCCGCACGCCTGGAATGCGTGAGGGTGACTTGAAGCGTCGCGTCGTGAGGAAGCTGGAGGTGCCCTTCGGCGGGGCACGCCGCGGTGAGCCCACGCGAGTTGGTAGTAGGGCCTCCGCAGGACTCACGGAGTGGGCGGGGAGCGGCGCTTCTCCCTCCGCCAAGACGCTTGCCGCCGCGAAGGCGGAGGCGGTGGCCCAGTTCTCCTGCACAACGTCGTCAGGGATGGCGCGGACGTCCATGAGGTGGCCGGCGGCGAGCGTGCGCAGGGTTGGCTCCAAGTGCCGTTCGTCGTCCGGGTGCGGGGCGCTGTCCTCCGCCGCCGCCGCCTGCCGCGCCGCCCGCAACGCGTCAATGCGGTACGGGCGAAAGCTGCTGATAAGCTCGTCGCTGTCCGCGATACGCCGGACGGTGTCGACGGTGGGGACCATGGCAACGATTGTGTTGTACCCCGCCCCACCAATGACGGTGCCGCCCATGTCTGTGCACCCCTCGTCTGCCGTCTTTGTGAAGGAGGGGGCCATGGTGCGCAGCGCCGGCAACTGCAGGCTGCGGTTGGCCGCCACCTCCCACGCCGCCTGGTACTCGCGCTGCAGCTTCAACTGCCTGTCACGCTCTTTCTTCGCCACGGATTGCGACTTGGACTCGGTGTTGGTGAAGAGGTGCGCGTGGGCCTGGCTCGCGTCCATCATGCGGCCAACGTGGCTTTGGTAGGGCTTGGCGGCGGACATTATGCGCCGCAGCGTCGTCGGGTCATCCATCGTGCTCTCCGCAAGCGCCATCCTCACTTTCTTTGTTTTGTTTTTTTTTTTCCTCGGCTGCTGCCTCGCCCCGTGCGCCTCGGTGCCGGGGGGGGTTCTCCTGCGCGGGCAGGTCCCCGACGCCGCACGCACGCAACGGCAAGCGGAAGAGGAAGAAGAGAAAAATATATTTTTTTAAAAAAAGGGGGCAGCGCGGCGCGGCGCGGCACGCGCGGGCAGACGGTGTGCGTGTTGCGCCGTCCCACACGCGCCTCCGCCGCGGCGGGCAGCAGCGAAGGGGGAAAAAAGAAGGAAAAATAAATAAATAAAACAGTAAAAAGACAAAAAAGCAAAAACAAAAACAAAACAAAAAAGAAGAAGGAGGAAGAACCGACAGTCCGTGCACAACACTCCCACCACCAATCACCATTGGGGCCTTCTGAGGAACACACACAGCGCTGATGGCGCCCCCCCTCCCTCTCTCTTTTTCTCTCTCGCTTCCCTCCACACAGACACGTGGACGCAAAGAGAGACGAAAAAAAAAAGAAAGAAGAGAGAGAGAGAGAGAGACGCATGCATACGCACACACGTATATGTACACATATATGTATACTTATATATGTACACATATATGTATGCCTACGCAAAGGCACAATTCCTCCACATTTTGTACTGTCCTCCCGCATGGATTTTGATCGCCCGCTCGCACCTCTCGCAACTCTCGCGCAAAAATAAGGCCATCGGCGGGGACAAGAGTAGAGCAAAAGCAGAAACAAGCAAAAAAAAAGCCGGAAAAGCACACACACACACACACACACAGAAGGTATACGCCGTGGCAAAGAAGCAAACCAAAGCTCATCATCATCGTTCCCTCACACACACATCGCCTCGCTTCAACGATTGTCGCAATTCACTTGCCACGCCTTTATACAATCCGCCCACGCAAGCAAACAAGCAAACACACACACACACATACACCCATAGGCGTATACATACATATACACACACACATACACC